GGAGCGCCACTCCTTAGCTAACCTATCACTTCCCTCCATTCACAAGCCTAATTATCGCACCTGTTAATCCCTCTATATATGCTCTCCCCTTTTCTATCAGCTGTCTTCCAGGTGTCAACGCGCAACCCTCTTCCACCCCTTCGCCTCCTGCTTCAAACTCAGGGCCAAGCTTAACCTTCTCCCTTCCAACCGGACCTAACCACTTATCACCACCACCAGGTCTAGACCCAGGGGGGTTCATCGGAAACGGTTCTTTCCCTTCCCGAATGATGTCCTACAAAACCTGGGCCTAATCGCCAAAACACCATTTCATTCACTTGTTATAAACTGTCATCATTATGTTTCATTTATATAATGTGACCGATAATAAACATGTATTCCATACATCACGTCTCTCCTGATTGAACTTTCGGTGGATGGATTTTCCTCAGCAGCAGTGTGTGATTGAGTATTATCTACCTCTGAACCATGCAAATTGACCAATCAGGATTGAGTATTCAACCAAACCTTGTATTAAATAGATTTATCAAATGGAAATATATAATACTATATCTCAGTAAAAGTGTTGGTAAAAAGGGTATTCAAGTACAGTGTCTATGTTTGGTTTCCCTTACAAACACTGACTCACGAATGCCCCAGGCCTCTGCACACCTTACATTATCTACAAAGGGACTGTTGAGTGTGGATGCACAAAGCAGCTTCCTGCAGGCGGAGGGAAGAAGAGAGCAAAGCTCATCACTCCAGCACAGAGCACTGATGACTTTGTTTGAGGAAAGATGTGCTAGCTTAGCCGCAGAAATCTGACAACACATTATTGCACAGAGAGCAGCTTGCAGGGTAAATCAACCATTACTGTAAACTGCTTGGAATCAGTCATATGTGAAAGCTTTATTAGCTTATTTGTTTCTGTTTAATTGTACATGTTTGTCATGGGTATGCTTATTGTTCAGGATTCACACTAATGGTTAAATGAAGCATTCATAAAAAAGCATCAGTAATCTGTCTTGTGTTTTCACTGCCCTTGACAAATTGACATTGATAATTCAACAGTCTGAGTTTGTTTAATTGATGATGGTTGATTTTTCTTTTCCTATATTTTTTATTATTTTCACAGTCTGTGGCTGTGTTAAATATGTAATAAAGAAAGAATAGTCAGGTAGGTCATTAACATTTAAGTTGAATACTCAATGCTGTTAGGTGAATATTGAACATTCTGCAATCTGCTCTTTTTGTTAGTAAACCGATTAGACATTTTGATTAGGTGAATATCAATTCACAGACAGAAGTTCGGTCAGTTTAAAGTCTGGTGGCCAAAAACATTAGTTTTCTCCATTAGAAAAAAAATCATGGAATGCTTGTTGAAATACATTTTTTATATTTGTGGAGAGAACGACATTTTGGATTCATGATGGCTAAAGAAAAAGAAAAGAACAAGAGGAGGAAAGATGTTAAAAGAAAGAGCGCTGGACATCAGATAAATCAACAGAAGAAGACAGACAGGAAGTAAACACTACCAAGAACAACAGAGGAAGACGGACAGGAAGTAAACACCAAGCAACTCTGAATAATGGCATAGCAGTAGTTGATGGAAACAAGTATTATTTCATATTTTTGTTTTGCCTACATTTTGAGTTCATTTGTGCAATACATTTAGATCGAAACACAGCTGTTTTGAATATAAACTCTAATGTATCCTACTGTAATGTAGACTCTCTGTGACTTTGACATTAAATACAACCTTATCTTCTGATTACAGTGTTTGGGATATATTGGGCTAAAAAGTGGAGTAATATATATTGTTGCAGCCTATGATATATTCAGTCCTATGAGTCAAAACCGTTGCGAATGTGCATGCATTTTCTTTCTGATTAGGGAGGAGATAAATGAGCTGTGAGGAGACATATGATCAAACAGCAACAACCAGTAAAACTGTCACTCCTTCCAGAGAGTTGTGGCCCAGATTATCTGCTATAGTGGCCCATTATTGCTTCCTAATGTCACACTGTAAATCAGCAAGGTAATTTTCCACCAGTGACTAGGCAGGGCAGGTACAGAAGCTGTATGCTACAAGTAGAGGGGGAGGGCATGAGACAAGGAAGACTGTGGGGCGAGGCAAGGGCGACATGCTCTGCAGAATGACAATGGATAAAGGTAAGGGCAGAGGGAGCTGAGCAGAGAGGGCTGGGCTGCTATTTCAACATTAAATGGACATAATGTGTTTGGAAATGACCTGAGCCGATGCTTAACCGGGACGAAAGGAAAATAAAACGTTTAAAACAAAGGTCAAAGCCTTTATTTGATGTACTGCACAGCTCCCATTGTCCACTCTCACCCATCATTTCAATGCAGCAGCCATTTCGTCCAAAATAAACTAAATACATCTGATAATCCACTGTTCACTGCCTGTACTGCACCAGATAGGAAATAAATGCTGGTGAACCTAGTTCCTTATTATGCTGCTTATTTTCTTTTATGTGACTTATTTAAATACTCCAATAACAGATAAGTATTCAAATTAAGAAAATTGGTGACAGTTGTTTTTCCGTAATAAAAAAAAGAATAGAAATAAATAGAAAATGTTCAGATTCGGAAAGCTAAAACCGGAAAGTCAAGGTATCTATAATTTTCTTTACAATTCAATAAATCATTGATAAATGTGTAAGTTCCATTCAGAAAGAAAGGGGAGAACTCACAAAAGGAATGTGCGGTTTAAACGTGTCATTCTGCAACTCATTCATGTAATGACAGCTGTGTCAGGAAAAGCACATTTCAAATATGAATGAGGAAAAATAAGCAAAAAATGAATACAAATAAAAAAGTAGCTTATAGGACTCTCCTGAATGTTTCAATGTGCGTTGGTAAACTACAGTAGGTTAAACTCAGTTTTCGAGTGCTTAATAGCAGTAATTCACTGTATCAATACCAACATTTATAGCAAAAAACCCTGAATATTACTTGCGTTATTTTGGCATGTTTAAAGGTCACCTTTTATGCAAAATGCACTTTTTGATGTGTTTTATACATAAATATGTCCCCCCCCGAACTAACAAAGTGTCAGAAAATACAACCCTCTCTCTTACAACCCGTTGCTGCAGATACACGCTGTACAACATCAGGAAGATACGTCCCCAGCTGACACAGAAAGCGACTCAGGTTCTGGTCCAGGCTCTCGTCATCTCACGCCTAGACTACTGCAACTCCCTCCTGGCTGGTCTACCTGCATGTGCCATCCGACCTCTGCAGCTCATCCAGAATGCAGCGGCTCGTCTGGTCTTCAACCTTCCTAAATGTTCCCACACCACGCCGCTCCTCCGCTCCCTTCACTGGCTTCCGGTAACTGCTAGAATCCACTTCAAGACACTGGTACTTGCTTACCATGCTGCGAATGGATCTGGCCCTTCCTACATCCAGGACATGGTTAAACCGTACACCCCAGCACGTGCACTACGCTCTGCATCAGCCAAACGACTCGCTGCGCCCTCGCTGCGAGGGGGACCCAAGTTCCCAACGGCGAAAACACGTGGGTTTGCTGTCCTGGCTCCAGGATGGTGGAATGAGCTCCCCATTGACATCAGGACGGCAGATAGCTTGCACATCTTCCGGCGCAAACTGAAAACTCATCTCTTTCGACTCCACTTCGAGCGATAGAACTATTAACGAAGCACTTTTATACTAATAAAGGACTGGCTTTTCTAAAGCCAGTTGAGTAGCACTTGAAATGTTTTTGCTCTATGAAACCTGATGTACTTATATGATTCTGTTTTCTTCAAGTTGTATTTTGTTGGACGAACGCACTTATTGTAAGTCGCTTTGGATAAAAGTGTCAGCTAAATGCAATGTAATGTAATGTTTTCCTCCTTACCCACATCTTTAAAAACGGAGGAAGAACGGAGCTGATCCAGATTTGCTGCGATCATGAAGATATTTCTGAAATGTGGGCTGGCTTTACATTGACCTCCTGGCAACATCCCACCCACGGCCAAACCTATCATCCCCATATACAGCCGGCTAGCTGAATCCCCTCCTGCAGCTGTATGTCTGTGTATTCAGCAGGTTGTCTGAGGGACTTAAGAGTAAAGTTGTGATATAATACATACAATGGCACTGTTCTAGTGGTAAACACTAAAGAACATGTCAAGATATGTGCTGTATCAGAAACAATGCGTGACATGTTTTGGAAGTAATATGGTCTGTGTTTCCATTAGCGAGCATCGCTAACACTCGGAGCTAACGCAGTACTGGAGATAATATGTGTGAAGAAGCCGGATATAAAAGGTACTGTCCTTGTGGTAAAGACAGAGAAAGCGTTTGAGCTCCATACTTTTTCAGAAATTGCCCTTGATGTGGTTTGGAACATGATATGGTGTTTAATCACAGCAGCGTTTAGCTGAATTTCTGCTGGTAGACAGCCTTCTCTTCACATAGCTCACTGCTTGCATGCGGACGCTCCAAGGGGGCGTGGCCAGCAGCAGCTCGGTTACATTTAAAGGGCCAGACCCAGAATCAGCACTTTTGTAACAGGGCTGAAATAGTGGGGTATGGCTAGAATGGGTGATCTGTTTGGTATTTTGAGCAAAACACTTCAGAGACATGTTTTGAATAGATATGGCCCTACAATATATTGTTCAAATATAGTATAATATGGGACCTTTAACACTACTTATGCTTATTGTGTAAATTGCCCAACATATGACAGTTAGCATTCTGCAGTTTCTATGTACTGGGGACCCGTACCATACATTTAGAAATGTATGGTATACAACCCCCACAACAACGTTTTATGATAGAACTATCATACGACTATTATTCATATTTACTTTATCTATAAATGGACGCAAGATTAATGGTGGCTATTAACCTTTTACATTTGTAACCATATATTCGCTTTCTTTTTTTAGCTGCTTACCTTAAACTAAACTTAATAGTGAACAGTGAACATGTTTCCGTTAATTAAGACTACAATTAGATCTTTAAAAAAACTGCAGAGGATTTGTACAAACCTGGGTTTCTCTTTCCTTTCAGGTAACCGACAACATTGTAGATCTTCTTGGAGGACAGTTGATTTCCAACAGTCAGAGTAATCTTCTTTCGTTCTAGGAAAACAAGAAAAGACAAACTGCTGTTGGGAATAGCTTTTTGAAATAACCTGAAGCTGTTTTCAAACATGATCCTATTTTAGACCAGCCTTTGCCAATTGGACATTGTTATGCGAATAGGAAATTGTCCCCAATGTGTACTGTTGACACAGGAGGATGCTGAACCCTTATTTAGTTGGTAATCGCCCAGAGAGAGGATATAAATTAGAAACAGCACGGCTCGCAGGCTCTGTCAAAGATGCTGTCGCAGTGTAAGTGTACCAGACAGGAATACAAAATCAGAGGAAGCTGCTAGTACATCTGAAAGTCATCCACAGTGTGTGATTGCTCAAGTTTAAAAACACACTCTTCAAATGCAGCGTGCACAAATAACACCAGCCGACAGCCAATCATCAAGTTTGTTTTCGCTGCATTCACTGTTTCATCTATTTCACCGTCCACTCTGGCCCCAGAAGCTTTTGGAAAATAATTAAAATATTTTACAGAGCCATTTGGCAGATACGGCAATTGTTTCTTTGTTATGTTGATTTAATTAAAATATAAACCTTTAGCATAAAGTTTCCTACCAAAAAAATATGTCCTAACTTTAAACCATTTACACACAACCCTGACCCTAAACGCTCAGTATTACAATGATCTTCTGTTGTACCAAAACATAGCGTTTTCACGTCTGTCATTCTGAGTGACCCATTCATGTTTTATCCGAAACGTGAATATGATAATGGAGCTGTACATTTTGTGGGATAAAAATATCTATAATGTACTTTGTATGCTAGGTGGCTAAGGGCTTGTAAAACTCTTTGAGCACCTATAATCTAGTCATCCTAGTGTTAAATTCCCCCAATAAAGAAATGAGGAACAACCAAAATGACCTATAATAGAAATATAATGTATGTGATGTTTTAAAATGCAAACTGGCTCTTGTAAAAATAGTAAAACCAGACCACACAAACACACAAAGTGCCATACGATGAATTTGACAGAGCAGTGTCTGCCAGCTCTGCTGCCTTGCTGGACGGCTTTGAGCTCTGGGGGGGTCGATGGCTGGATATCTGAGGGAAATGCAGAGGAGGTGCCAGGAAAGATGTGAAGCAGGGATTCAAACTGTGTGTGACAGAGGTCCCCTGCCTAGAGCACAACACTACAGCATGACAGCCCACTTCCCCAGCTCCGCTCCATCCTCCATCCCTCCCTGACTTTTCCTGCCTCCCTCCTCGCTCCTCTTTAATACATTATAAAAATGTACTGCTTTCTCTCATAGGCGCCACATAACCCATTTATCACTTTTGACATTGGCACAAATGACTTTGGCTAAAGAGCAGGGATGGAACATGTTTGTGTATTCAATCTGCAGACGTACTCACAGGGAGCGGCGAGGGAGATTTGTCATTGAGTAATTCCACTTCATGATGAATGGGTTTACACACCGAGCCTCTGCTACAGGTAAAGGGTAAATCTGAGTTAAGTTTTAAAAGGTTGATGAACATATTCAAAGGGACCAGACTATGTGTCGGACGTTCAAAATCTAAATTAAATGTGAAAGGAGATTCCATAGCTCTGACATGATATTCTACTTGCTAAAGTCAATGGAGAATGTGTCCTTACTTCACCATCTGAATCAGACGTAGTGCCACATTGTCCAGTGTGGCATGTATGGCAAGCCATTTGAGTATTTATTCCATATCCTTGATATCAGACGGCAGCTGCCTACACTAGTTGGCTCTTTGATTTAACTTGTTAGATATATGGTCAAACTAGTTTGGCACTCTGTTAAATAAAACATTACACTAGTCGCTCTTTTTCAGCAACTAGTGGTATATGGCAAGCCATTTGAGTATTTATTCCATATCCTGACACGTCAGTGACCTATATTTTAATTTCTTCCATCAAACTTTAAAAATGGCAAACAGCATGTTTTTAAAGATTTAATCTTTTAAGAAACAAAATATCAACTTTGAACAGAAGGGTTTAAACACACGAAATAAACTTGAACTTGTATATATATATATTATATACATCATATATATATATATATATATATATATACATACATACATACATATATATGCAAGTATTGCTAATGCAATTATTTTTTAAGTTTGTGTACATAGTTTCAAATGCTTAAATTGTTTATGGAGGCATTACAATTTAAGACTGATAAATTAACACTGAAAACTACTGTTTGTTTTGCATTAAGTCATACTGGGATGTTTGCTGAAATTGATTGCATGTGGCACAGCCCTACCTAGAAAAATAAACACCAGCCGCCACTGCTTATAAGGCTCTTCACTCAGTTTGGACCATAGATATATATAAACACTAGATGGCTCAAGGGGGAGTCGCCATCGTAGCTCACCGGCGGCCATCTTACCACAGTCAACAACTACTGCTACAGCTGTTGTAAGGTGAGTGATCTGCACAAAAATACTCTTAACTCGCTGAAATCTTGACTGATTTACAAACGGTTTGGTTTATTATAAACGTTATTAGCATGGCTATGATACAGGAGACAAAAAGACATGTTGAAAAAAACAAGTTAATGATTATAATTATAAGTATGCAGTATCATAACTACATCTTTGATGTTTATAACGAACCAAACCGTTTGAAAATTGAGCAATCTACGGTTATTTCAATAGTGCACCATAGACATCATGTTATCAATGAGCGAGCTGCCTGTGGCAAGATGGCCGCCATGTGGCAACGTCGGTCTCCATTGGCCAGCAGCGCGGGTGAGTCATCTAGTGTTTATATATATCTATGGTTTGGACACTGACCAATCCAAATCTGGGTCCGCCTGCTTAATTTGCATATGGCTGACTAGTTAACGTGTTGGCCATATGAACGGCAACTAGTTAACTAGTGGATACATATTGCAGCTTACATGTTAACTAGTGAAGGCAAAATGTTCACTAGTTAACTAGTTGAAGCCTGTTTTGATCTTACAAGCTGACTAGTGAGGCTCAAAATGTCGGTGGACGCGCCGGCGCGTCCAGGTGCGCATAATTTTACGTAATGAATCATATATTTTCGATTATAAGGAGTAGAAATATGATTCAGATATCCGCGGAATCGCTGGAAGAGTAGCTTTCCAGCGGTATCTCCTGTGAGACTGTAACCAGGGCACAGTAGCCAATATGGCCGCTCAAAGCAGCTTGACTTTACACTGTGTGGGATTGGTGGATTTGTGTGTCCGTCAAAGAAATCTCGGCCGGCAGCCATCATGGTCTGAAATGACCAATGGACATCGAGAAATCACTAAGGGCCTACCCACCAAGTAAAAAAAACATAAACCACGTGTCTCCCATCAGTTTAGGTCTGTGAGGAGAGAGAGAGAGACAGAGAAAATGGCTAAAAAAAACTTTACAGTTGCCGACTTCGCTAGAGATTTTTTTCGCTAGCAGCAGTGAATATAGAGCCTCAGAACCTGAAGTATTCGACTCTTCTGAAGAAGAAGAATACAAAGACAACAACAAGGATCCATTTGGACATGGGTAAGTGTAAATATTACAGTAATAGTGTACTGGCAATGTGTGGGGAATACCGCGAAAATGAACAATAGGTTTATTGATATATATTTGTTATCGATAGTCATGAACTTTTTATTGGGACAAAATAGACTCCATTAGCAAACGTTTACTCTGTGTTAACGTTATTTTGGTGTGTAAAAGTGAGATTACATGTGTAGATGATTCAATTAATCATTTATTCGTCCCACAACGGAGACATTTACAGTGACATGTTTTTGCCATCGATTATTTTATCATACTGTTCTGTACAGATGAGACTTTGTCATATATTTATTGATGTGTGCCTGTTATTATTTTACCGTCCTGTACAGATGAGACTTTGTAATCAGATGTAGCCTATGTATATGTGTGTCTGTGATTGTATACTGAATGTAAAGTAACTGGAAATACCTGTGTGTGTGTGTGTGTGTGTGTGTGTGTGTGTGTGTGTGTGTGTGTGTGTGTGTGTGTGTGTGTGTATGTGTGTGTGTGTGTGTGAGTGAGAGAGATCGAGAGAGACTCCTTCTCCAACCTCCCAAACTTTCTTTGTATGTGTGCATTGTTATTTGTGCTTGATCAACATTTTACTTGAACTTTATTTCAATGAAATTAGTTGTAATTATTGTCCTACATTTTAATTTGTTTAACAGAGATGTTTCACAGCTGTCTGGGCCTAGTGGCCCACAGGCTGCGTTTATCCAGCAGCCAGAACATCCATCTGTGCCGGCCCCCAGGTCAAGATCTACTGTGGCTCAAGGGCCTTCACCAGAGCCATCACCACCAAGGACCAGCAGACCAGCATCACTACAGCTGCCTCCACCTCCATCTGCGGCTGCCACCAGGTCAAGATACACCTCAGCACAAAGGCTCCACCACAGCCATCACCTTCAACCCAGCCAGCAAGGAGGTCTCGTGGAGGTCTCGTATAGCACTTGTACACCCCACCTACACAGCAGCCCATGCACCATCACCCCCACCTACACAGCAGCCAGACCCACTGTCTTGGAAGACAGACAAAGACCTTGACACGTCTTGACATTTATAATGAATAGTTGGTTGAAAGTTCTGATGTTCAATTTTGTAAATAGTTAGATTTTCCAGTTTCTTATATAGTTGGTTGAAAAAAACATATTTATAATAAGTTGTTGGTCGAAAAAAAAAGGTTGAATGCTCAATTTGTATTTGTACACATCACATGAACCTTGGTATGTAATATGAAGTCATTAGTCAGTCCTGATGTATCTCAGTCCCTGCTGTGGTGAAAGTAGAGTGATAAACACCTATTTTACTCAAAATTCGAATTTAATTTTTTTAATTTTATACATGAATAACACATTTATATACAGTGTAATTCAAATATTTCACTGCTTTTGTGATCCTAGGACTTTGGTACCAAATCTAAAACACCAAAACAATTCGATCACATGAGTAAATTTGTGTTTTCACAAGAGTTTTGAAGATTTTCTGAAAATCGGATGTCAAGTTTTA